ATATACAATATATAAATGTATATTGTTATTATAATTACAGTCGACCCCCCTATAACACTGTTGATTATTCCTTTTTACAGTCGACCCTCTATAACACTGTTGATAATTCCGTTTTATATGAATTTCATGTTGTACGAGTCACTTAGATTTTACAAATACGCGAGCCGTTCACAACCCGTATGTGTAAAATCTAAGTGACTCGTACAACATGGAATTCATATAAAACGGAATAATCAACAGTGTTACAGGGGGGTCGACTGTACACTTGTAAAAGATTTTAAGCAAGTAATAATGATGAAAGAAGCATGCCCCTGTAAATAATACTTTCCAACAAAACATTTTACTAAAATATCCCCACAAAACGTATCTGTAAACCTTACAGATATAGAAAGTGCAGTGAAACACGTGTAGATCAATCGCTTTCAAATTATTAACGTTTTATCTTAGATGTACTGTACATAAAACATATTTTTTTTGTACAATTACGTATGAGATCTTCAATCAATGACTACGTTTTACGTTCATAATATATTCATACGTACAAAATACCGATTCTGATTGGTCGATTTTGAATTGCTCCCGGTTCTGGTTGGCTGAAATTGAAATTAGAGTACATTTTTAGTCGTCTTGTTGCAGTCTTTATTGTGTATAAACACCAGGTCTTTCCACTTTATCAAGAGTTAGAGCTATAAGTTAACCAATAAGCATTTACGTATTGAAAGAAAAGTGAATAGTAATTGGTTAACTTTTATTAACTCCGTTTTCGAGCGTGGATCATACAAATGACCTTAAAATAAAACTTGTACAGTTAAAATCTGTATAGAAGTAATTAAATATCATTGAACGGACATTGTAATTGAGACATTGGTATAAAATTTCGGAGCGTTTTCACGCATAAAAAAAAGGCAGTAACCTTTATTATTTCGTTACATTCTTTTGCATAATTGCAACATTATTCTATATCAAACTTTCGTTACTTTTCCATCACTAAATAGGTTAATTAATATATCAATTATATTTTGTTATCATTTTTACTATTTGTAAGTTCGTTTGTGGCAGCGTTTTATTCATGTCAGGCCCGTTTTTTGGCACTTTTGTGTTTTTTTAAAACTATTTCCGCCCTGTGGGCACCAAGACGTCCGGTTTGGCTTGCTACAATGCATTATGGATTCGGCCAGACCCACTGGGTGACGAGGGACGAGGCCCGACATATCCGGGCGGGATGATCTTTGGCGCCTGATATCTCCCATACGAGGTCGAATGGGTCCTTCGGTGTGTGGTCCATACGATGGACCACACACCGAAAAATTCCAAGGAAAAATTCCGATACATCGTATGGACCACCACATTTTAGTGCCCACAGGGCGAAAAGAGTTTTAAAAAAATGTAATTGGTCGTGGGTTCGCACCTCTGCTCACATGTTTTCTAAGTTTCTTCACGTTTGTAACCTCTAAACAGGGAAAAATTCCCATAAGAAGTCCTCATGAGAGATGCCCCCTCGGCAAATCGCCCACGAGTCACGTTGTCATATACAAAAGAAAATAAAATAAATGCATTTTTTTCGATACGTATATATTGTCTAGGTTGTANTTTCTTTTTTTAACCCCATTCCCGATAACCTGGCATTTTCACAAACTCGGCCACCCTTCGGTCCACATTAGGCCGAGTTTTCGAGGCTCTACTGTATTTTTTTATGTTTTCATCAAGGCACTAAGAGATCTCTTTAATCATTAATTAATCATACTCATATGGGCAGATGGTGAGTTATGGGGCTCAATGTATCTGTGACAGACCACCTTAAAAATTCCTAGAATTGCTTGCCCAGATTTGTTCCTGAGTCTTCCAGAGCATTAGGATGATGCCTTAACTACTCCCACCATCTGGCCATCAATTAATAATAGATAAAAATAAACTCCAACATCACTAATTTTGGGAATAAAGAAATTTATTCACTTAATGTTTTAGGTTAAACTTCATACTCTGATGTTAAGAGTACAAAATTTCACTAATTTTGAAGCATTGTAAACAAAAGTCCAAAATTGCTATAACAGATTTAGGGAGTCAAATTTATTTTATTTGGGATGAAATGTGTATTGAGACAGAAAGTTTCTTATATAGATAAAAGAAACCCTGATTAAGTATATAAGAACTTCCAATGCGAACCAGAAGTTATGTTATTTCAATTCACAAATTTTCTCCCAAAAAGTATTAGATAGATGACTGGCACAACTCTACTGTTACAGGAAATGTATGATGTACAGGGGAAAGACACTAAAGTACTAATTTGAGGTGGAAAGCATATATTTTAAGTAAAATAAATTAAAAATTGCAGCCTGGAATTGTGACGATGTTACAATAAATAATTGCTTGTTATTCATAATTCTATATTATAAAATACATCCTCATTCCATACACGTAACCATTATAACATGGATCATACATCATATTGGATATTGCTTGATACTACAGTTTGTGCAGTATTTTAGTGTGTCATAGTTTTCTGACTCCTTAAATTTATTATAATCTTTTTTATGAAGTTGATAAATGTAGAAACTATTACTGTAACTCTGCTTTTGTGATGTAATCGGTTCCTGGAAAACTATTATTAAGTGGACAATTATTAATTGAAATAAGCTTTGTTTAATGATTCCCATAGAATTAGTGTCACAAATTGAAATCATACTTGTGGAAATTCAGTTTAAACTATTCATTATACTATATTAAGAACTTGATAAATATTTTCATTTTATCTTCATTTTAAATTATGATATTTTTATTTCCATGTTAGATTCCTGTTCTAGTGTTGTACTGAATTAACTATAATGTGGTATTTTAATGCATTCTTTTGATGTGATAAAAACAAAATAAAAAATAAAGATATTATAATTCTTTAAAATGAGGAAAGCAAAAGTTTTTTTTAACATAAACAATAATTATGACAAAAATCAAGGTTATATTATATGCATTATGCAAAACTTTAATGGTAAAACATTACAACAGTTCATTTATTCATGAATAAGGCTTGTAATTTGCTTATAATACAATAAAAAGTTGAAGCTCAATTATAATTTAGCAACTGAAATCATCAGTTTTTTAATCTAATTTAAAGCATTATTTAAATAAGATATAATAATTGGATGTCAATTTTGACTCCATAAGCACTAAATTATTATAAACAATGCTAACAAATTTCAGGATTGGACTCCTAAAATTTGATCACGTTCCGAAGGCATTATAAGTTTTTACAGATATTCGATTTGATTGAATCTTTTGTATCATGATACGAATACATGTTGGAACATATGTTCAAAAGCTGGAAAATTCTAAGATGGGATGAGAAAAGTCCTGAAAAATGTTTAATCCTGATTGTATTTGATTACAGTTTGGATTCCTGAAATTTGTTAGTGTTGTTTATACTAGTTAATTAAAAAATTAACTTTAAAAATGAAAAGGTAATAATAAAGAAAAGAAATATTAATGAAAGTACATTAAATAAGTAAGAGACAATCATTGGCTCCAACTATTAAAAATAAGCAATGATTCATATCGTTATTGATACAGTATTGGACCAAATATCAGGCAAGCTCGGAACCAGAAGTGGTCCAGATTTCTTGATTTCTAGTTTTCTGGACAAAGGCAAAATAGATACCTACTTGAAATATAAAATAAAGGATGAAAAGTAAAGAATAAAATTGTATTTAATGCAGTGTAGGCCAGCAGTCTCACTGGAACTGTCGTCATGCAATGCATATACCACGTATTATACTGTACTGTATAATACATCATGCAAACTAAAACAGAGTGACTGCACACCATGCCAAATTCAAAAAGTTTCCTGGTAATTCCAGATTTCTGGAAGTCTGATATTTGGTCTGATACTGTATATTAATTAATACTATTTGCATAAGTTATAAAAAAAAAAAGACTATTTAGCTGAATTAATCAATAGACCTTTAACAGTCAGTGAAGTTGAATAAACGGCTAATGTTTTCAGTCCAATTAATGGGGCATTCTCAGGCATGGACAAAAAACTTTCATCTGTCCATGCTTAAGGATGGCTTATTAACCAGGCCAAAAATGTTAGAATTTCAACTTTATCTATTGATACTATTAATTAAAAGTTCATTGATTATTTCAGCTGATTAACTATACTGGCTAGTTTATCCTTGTTAATATGAAGGACTATTTATTGACACATCTATCAATAAGGGATTTATCTCTTAATAAATCCCTCAGAAACTAAACCCATCTTAACTATGAATCAGAATTTCACAGCATTAGTTAATTGGGCATGAAATATAGAAGACCCAAAAGCTTTTCTCATTTAGGTCTTAATTTAAATATGAATAATAAAAGTGTTATTATGTTGTATAATTGAAATAGAGGAAGAAGCAGTTTACTGAATATCTGAAATGAAAATTTGAAGTAAAATTTAATTTTTATGTTACATTAAAATTTACTAAATTACAGAGATTATGATATACTACTTCTGCTGTATAAAATTTCATAAAATTTTCAATGTTTATTTATCACTAGAGAAAGTCTAAATGAAAAAATCTTAGTTCAAACTTCTTGATGCTTAATCATTTTGTTTTAATATGCCTTCTTGGATTGTACAACTGAAATATATGCTTCTGCATATATATATAGAACCATAGGTGTTACTTTCAGATATATATACAGGATGACTGAAACGTTTCCTGCCCCATTTTCATTCCAAAAGTACTGAAATTATATTAATTTTGTTAATGTAATTACATAGTAAAGCATATGGGTAAATTTACAGGTATGTAGACTACAACTGCACCCCCCTTCTGAGGGTTTTCCTGAGTAAAGCCAAGTACCTCAGTTAGTAAAAAAATTTTTAAAGTATATTATTTTATTTTTTTGCACCCCCATCTAAAGATTTCCGGATCCACAATTGGGAAGGCTTTCATTGAGAATAGGATGAAACCTTTTTAAAGTGATTTCAAGGTCAACAAAAAGGTTCCATCCTATTCTTTGTGCATGCCTACCTATGTGTCTATATTAACAAAATTAATATATCTTCAGTACATTTGGAATGAAAAGAGTGCAAGGGACTTTTGACTCATCCTGTATACATCTGTAAGTAACTAACTACCTTTAAAATTCTTATTTTGAAATTTAGAATTCTTATTTTAAAATACTTATTTTGAATAAGTAATTTTTTTTTTATAAAATAAAATGCATTGCATTTAATTTATATGAATCATGGTATGATTCATGAAAAAAACAAATGCAATACAATACAATGAAAACCAAAAAAATATCTCTGATGATGATGGAAATTTCTATACTATATTAAAACTATTGGTCATATTCTACTAAATCTTCACAATCTTCATCAATACTATCTTCTTTCATCATTGACAATCTACGTTTCATAGCAGGAGATAAAACAGGAATGCAGTTTCGTGGAATTAAAAATGTGGATAGATTGAACAAGTCTATGAATACTTTATAGCGATCACTGTAAGGTAAATAATTAGTTTTGTTGTAAAAAGAAATTAACTTTGTTATTTAATGTAATATACTACCTGAGTGTTGATCTTAAATACTGATATCCCGAAGATCCACCAGTGCCAAATTGTTGAGTGCCAATCATTCGTTGAACCATCTGAACATGATTATCTATAATAATTATAGTTTATACTGAATCTTTTCTACACCGAAGACAGACATTATATTTATTACGTTTTGTTTAAAATATTATAAATAAATACTCAATATTTTATATTTTAAAATATCCTTACATCTCCATTTTGTAACTAAAGAATCAATATCCATTAACAGAGTCAGGAGATGATAGGGTTGATTAAATCTTGGCTCATCACGATAGAAGGATATCATCATGGCTCCTTGAAAGGCTTTATGTGAGAATATTCTTTCACCTAGATAAAAGAAAATTGCATTTTACAACATATTTTAAAAAATGTTATTTAAAATAAGAAAATTTACCTCTTGTTACCAATGCATTGTGCTTATTGACATCAAATATTGAATCAAAGGAATTCTGTAAAAATTTGTATTTATGAGGCGTTTAGTTGTAGATAAAATGTTACCGTAATTCATTTTATGTTTGCATTAAAATAATAACCTTTTTCCGTCTGTATTCATCGAGTAGAGATTCTTTTTTGGCAGAATCTTTCTCAGACTATGAAATATAAATTAATGTATTTTAAAAATAATAAAATATGAATAAATTAAAAATAACAATATTAATGTATCTATTAGTTTTATATATATATAAAGATATGTACAATATTTTAAATCATAACTTATATAATTTAAAGTAACATTATTTTTAAAATATATAGGATAAAAGTGTTTCTTAATTAAAATATTTTGTTAAAATTACTGGTGGTCCTCAACTTTTGAACAATTTGCTCTTTCATACATAATACTCTGATAATCATAAATCACTTTTTGTAAGCGAAATTTGCGGTCATGTATATTTTGGGCATGTGTTATGCTTTCTGCCAATTTTTATTTCAGCAACATCAAAATAATTTGTGAAAATTAACTTTTTATTGAGTTTTTTTCTGTTTATTATATGATTTTAATGTAGTAAATCACAGTAAAAAGCTAAAACTTTCCTACTTTAACAAGCAATTTAAAAAAGTTCTCTTTTGACTCTATGAGAATGGAACTCTCTTTACAACAAGCAACTCTATTGTTTGACTTTTTTAATCATGTTTAGGAACACATTAAGTCTAAAAATTGTAGACTGAATGTAATTTGGTTTGCTACTTTCTTGTGATTCAAAATATATTAAGGACTTATCTTCTAATAACAAAGTGTTAATCAATATAAAGTTCACCAACCTTATGTAGGCCTTGTATGTAAGTGAGAAAACCATTACTAATGTTTCTTGTTTACACCTAAGACCTTCTTTAGGTAGATTTTTCCAAATAATGCCAGCACCAGAAAGATTCGAATTTAGAAAAATCTACCTGAAAAAGGTATTAGGTATAGACCCAAAATGTTATGTAGACTTACATAAGATCATGGTAGACTTTATATAATAAGAACAGTTAACTGAGAGAGAAGAGATTGAAATATGTTCTAAAAAAGAAATTAAACTTTACTTTCTTGTTAAGATTATAAAATATTTAACTCTACTATCTAAGCAGCTGCAAAAGTATTTATAAATGCTTTATTACTAATCATAGTTTATTGATGGGATAATGTATACAATACTTGTAAAAATTTTTACTTTATCCTGTGAATTAATAAAAATATCTAATTGATAATACTAATAATAGAGAATAAAAACACTAATACAATTATTATTGTATTAGTGTTTTTATTCTCTATTATTAATTAAAAATTTTAAGTGACATTATTTAAGATTTCTGTAGAAGCAACTTATTTAAATGGGGCCCCAATTTAAATTTTGTCTATGGCCCAGTAGAAGCTTAATCCTGCAATGCATATAAGCATCTCTAGTGAGTTCAGAAAAACATTGTGATGACAGAAGAATGTCTGTAGCACAAGAAGAATTTTTCATATTTTCTAAAGACTCTGTTTATGACTTTAGATAAGGAAAAGCTATTTGATAAGTGCGTAACTGCAACTAAAAATTGTCATATGACTCATACCTTTTTAATTTGCCTTTTAAACACAGGTAAAACTGTAGGTTATCCACACACAAAATATGATGAAGATGATTAAAACTATTAAAAGTGAAAACAGCCGTATAAAATGATACTAACCTCTGCATTTTTTCTCATATTTTCTAATAATATATCAACAACTTTTTGATATTTTCCCCAAAAGTTAAAACCATTTACTTCTAAACCAGGAGTTCTTTCTAACCATCTCTTAAAAAAGAAAATTTTTTCACATTATAATTTAAATGTCATAAAATAAAATTAATACAGTTATTTTTTAATAATGTAAAAAGAAAAATACTTGAACTAAATCACAGAGAGAAAGTTCATTTTCCGATTTCTTTACAGCTTCAATAGCTTCTGATTCTTGAAATACTCTTAAGTAATTATTTTTTCCGTAATTAACTCTTTGTTCCTAAAAATTAAACATATAAAATTATTAAATGCTGTTAAATAAAATTTCATTATTATTATTATTTAGAAAAAAAATTAAAACATACATTTCGCACACCCAATTTATTTTCAATTAATCTGAACTGTAGACTTTGAAAGCCAGAGGCTGGAGATAAATAACATCTGTAAAAGTTATTAGTCATAGATTTAAACAAAGCTATGATTTTGTATTATTATTATTATTATTATTACTTTTTCTTTTAACTCCACTTTATGGATATTTAGAACACCAAAATCAAATAGAATAAAAAAAAAATCCCAAAATAAATATTTTGTAATTTTAGGAATTTTATAAAATGACTACACAAATAAGAAATCAACATGTATTATTCATTGATAAGAACAACCTATGAAAGATAGGCTATAGAATAGTTCTAAATGTTTTTAAGAATTCTTGAATAGTGTTTTGAAGATGTAAACAAAATTCAATTTACTTTATAATCAGATCTTCATAATCTATTGTTTTGATGGCTGGATAGCTCAGCAGTTAAAGTGGCAGCCTATCACTCTGGGGACCCAGGATTGTTTCCAGACATGCCCAAAAACCCCAGGAATCTTTTCGGGATCGTGTGTCTGGATATGTCTGTCCCTGTCCCTCACTATCCAGCCTCCCCACTATGGGCATTGCTGAACCTGTAATGGGCTTGATAGAATGCTTGAATTCTTTCCATCCTGTGGGCATTAGAACCCACAGGACAGAAAGAGTTTAAAAAAAATTAACTTCTTTTTAAGATATTTAACATTGCAATGAAGTATTACAAGGAATATTTGTCATAATTTCAAATGATAAAAATCTTTGATTACATTTTAATCTAGTAATTTTTTCAACTGGATAAATATTACTTAAACCATATAAACCTTACAATCCATCAAGTGCTTTTAAAGAACAAATGTTTTTCCCCAAAACTTTCTGCTGGATTGTGGACTGTAATGGTTTTGTAGTTCAAGTTACAGTTTAATTCATTTTTTTTCTTAAAAATTCTTTATTAATAATGTTACTAGATTTTTCAGACTCTTTACTTACTTTTGTATTGTATACGTCTATGGTATTTTACATTAAATTAATTTACTAACTTTTAAAATTGAAATTACATTAAATATTTATCTGGGCAAAACTTGTGCATGGAAAAATAATGATTTACCTGAACTCCATAAAATCCAAGGGTGTCATGGTTTCTAATATAGTAACTTGTTCTACAAGCAACTAAATAAAAACAATAACTATTAATTAGTATTCTTTAAATTAGAATTTACATTTGTGCAAGAGATCTTAATCACTCGCACAAATGCCACAGATTCTTTAAAAACTTTATATTAAAATCTATTTAAATTAATATATTCTAAAATTAAATATATTATGTAAAAATGAACCAAGTTTCACTATTAAACTGTTTTTGGTATTGATTTTTTTGAATTAATTTGAAAAACATGCAAATATATCCATTGTCCTAACTAGCATTTAGTTTACCTTGTGCAAGATTTCATTATTTGGCCCCCTTTTCTTGGAAAAAAAATAAAAAAACAATAGAAATGATTGGCTAATTTTTTAACTTTAAGGGAAAATGTTACAAAATTGGCACCACGGTGGTAAAACTTAAATATAGGAATATAATACTGATCATTTTTTGATACTCCATTTTAGAACCCTCTTCCCTGGCCTCATGGCTTAGCGAAGAAGCCCTGTGCATCCATTGTAAAGTACTTGCCTAGTTATGACATTGAATATATCTTCAATTTATATATATATATATATATTGTGTATGCTTTACATTAATTTTGGAAAATTGATACCAAAAACACAGTATTTTGTAATTTTAGTAAATATATATTTAATATAATTCAGGATTTGTTTCATTTACAAATATATTTCATGAAAATATAAATACTGTATATTGATTTTACTTGAAAGTAGCATTATTGAAATGATATTAATTATACCTTTAATATGAGCACAATCCTATTTAATCGAGATGTGATGATCAGCATTTTTGCTTCATTTACTTCCTACAAATTTAAGAAAAATTATAAATAATGAAAGAATAAAAGCTATATTTGTTTACAATCGGCCCCCCTATAACACTGTAGATAATTCCGTGTTATATGAATTCCGTGTTGTACGAGTCACTTAGATTTTACAAATACGTGAGCCGTTCACAGCCTGGCACACATATTTGTAAAATCTAAGTGACTCGTACAACATGGAATTCATATAATACGGAATAATCAACAGTGTTATAGAGGGGTCGACTGTAGTACTTGTAAAAAGTAAATTTACTGTACCTCTGTAAAGAATAATTTTCTGACTGAATCCAATTCATATATAATTTGCTTGAACCATAATTCATAAGCTACATAAATGTTCATCATTGAATAAGAATTAATATATTTAATTTGATACATCAGGTAATTAACACATATGATTCAGCTATTACCTTGATGAGTAATTATAAACAGATGCTCATCGTGTACAGTTTCATCTAAACGTCCTGATAAGGGATCTTGACAATTTAGCAGATGTTTCAACTGTTATAATAGAAAATTGTATTTTCATTAATCAAATACATCATTTAAATTAACATTTAAAAATGATTAAACAAATCCATTACTTGAAGATAGTCACCATAATGCATTCCACCCGGTGGAATGTTGAAACCGCTGCTTGAATTGATATCTCCATTTCCATTTGTAATGCTAAATAAAATGATATTTTTTATTTATTTGTAAAGATACCAACTAAAAATCAATGTTAAATATTTTATATACAATATATAAATGTATATTGTTATTATAATTACAGTCGACCCCCCTATAACACTGTTGATTATTCCTTTTTACAGTCGACCCTCTATAACACTGTTGATAATTCCGTTTTATATGAATTTCATGTTGTACGAGTCACTTAGATTTTACAAATACGCGAGCCGTTCACAACCCGTATGTGTAAAATCTAAGTGACTCGTACAACATGGAATTCATATAAAACGGAATAATCAACAGTGTTACAGGGGGGTCGACTGTACACTTGTAAAAGATTTTAAGCAAGTAATAATGATGAAAGAAGCATGCCCCTGTAAATAATACTTTCCAACAAAACATTTTACTAAAATATCCCCACAAAACGTATCTGTAAACCTTACAGATATAGAAAGTGCAGTGAAACACGTGTAGATCAATCGCTTTCAAATTATTAACGTTTTATCTTAGATGTACTGTACATAAAACATATTTTTTTTGTACAATTACGTATGAGATCTTCAATCAATGACTACGTTTTACGTTCATAATATATTCATACGTACAAAATACCGATTCTGATTGGTCGATTTTGAATTGCTCCCGGTTCTGGTTGGCTGAAATTGAAATTAGAGTACATTTTTAGTCGTCTTGTTGCAGTCTTTATTGTGTATAAACACCAGGTCTTTCCACTTTATCAAGAGTTAGAGCTATAAGTTAACCAATAAGCATTTACGTATTGAAAGAAAAGTGAATAGTAATTGGTTAACTTTTATTAACTCCGTTTTCGAGCGTGGATCATACAAATGACCTTAAAATAAAACTTGTACAGTTAAAATCTGTATAGAAGTAATTAAATATCATTGAACGGACATTGTAATTGAGACATTGGTATAAAATTTCGGAGCGTTTTCACGCATAAAAAAAAGGCAGTAACCTTTATTATTTCGTTACATTCTTTTGCATAATTGCAACATTATTCTATATCAAACTTTCGTTACTTTTCCATCACTAAATAGGTTAATTAATATATCAATTATATTTTGTTATCATTTTTACTATTTGTAAGTTCGTTTGTGGCAGCGTTTTATTCATGTCAGGCCCGTTTTTTGGCACTTTTGTGTTTTTTTAAAACTATTTCCGCCCTGTGGGCACCAAGACGTCCGGTTTGGCTTGCTACAATGCATTATGGATTCGGCCAAACCCACTGGGTGACGAGGGACGAGGCCCGACATATCCGGGCGGGATGATCTTTGGCGCCTGATATCTCCCATACGAGGTCGAATGGGTCCTTCGGTGTGTGGTCCATCGTATGGACCACACACCGAAAAATTCCAAGGAAAAATTCCGATACATCGTATGGACCACCACATTTTAGTGCCCACAGGGCGAAAAGAGTTTTAAAAAAATGTAATTGGTCGTGGGTTCGCACCTCTGCTCACATGTTTTCTAAGTTTCTTCACGTTTGTAACCTCTAAACAGGGAAAAATTCCCATAAGAAGTCCTCATGAGAGATGCCCCCTCGGCAAATCGCCCACGAGTCACGTTGTCATATACAAAAGAAAATAAAATAAATGCATTTTTTTCGATACGTATATATTGTCTAGGTTGTATTTAAATATGTTTATGTACAGTACTTTCTAAAAATATAATAATAATACAATGTAGACAATAATATAAGGTGGGTGGAATGTAACTAGGCATTGAGAAATCACTATAATTTCTATATTTCTAAAGAAAATATGACAAAAATTATTCAACATGTACTTTATTAAATGGAAACACGAATGCATACGTTAAAATACAATGTTGGCCCAGTGCCATTCACCAACGTCAGCTTTTTCTCAGATTGTGATGTGGATGGACGGTCGCTTTTCTGTATTTTCGCACCGAACCTACTGATCATTTTAGCTTCGAATGATTATTATTCATTGTTTATGGACGGATCGTACCACGACGTTCCTTCACGATACTCCACCGTCAGGCAACCATTGATTTTTACACCTGATAGCGTGCGGCAATTTGCGCTGGCTCCCGAACAGACAAGCGGTCAGACATCTTTTTTTGTCATTGCGCTTGCTGCTCCTCTCGGTAACTCCCACGCCATCGTTAAAGGAATTTAATGTTGCATTGATTGATGTACACGCAAGCATAAATTTTATTACGATTGCATTATTACAGTACTACAAAAATGCTGGCGATTTCTCAAGCTTAGTTATTTTCTACCCACCTTCTAAATATGCCTACACATAAAATTTTAAGAATAAAAATCCTATATTCTCGAATATATTTTATACATAGTCTTATAAAATAGACTTGAATATAAAAACTTATATTCGCATTTTACGAATATATTTATTAAATTTAAATTAATAATGAAAATAAAAATGTTAAGTAATTCTAAATATTTATATTCCTCTTTTTATTTATTTTGTGGCTCTAGTAAAATATCTTTCTTATTGACAATAAATTGTTATGAAGACAAATGATTTCACTTTCCTATTATATCATCTATTGAATAAGTATTTCTTGCCGATCTGTAAACTTAAACATGACTGGCTAAGAAGAAACTTTTGCTCATCTTCTGAATAGTTTATACATATTTTTGAAGATTTTTCGATGGACCTTTAAGATTTTATATAAATGAACATAAAATGACTCTAATATGGGGTATGGTCACCTCTCACATCGTGACCTCATACTGGAAACGAAGCAGTTGATGAGTCCCCGTGGCAGTCGGTCCGATTGCTGCAGCAATGCACTTTTCAGCTCCCGGGTGGTTCTCGAAGGGGGATTGCAAGCTGTAATTGTCCTCCCAAGAGCGTCTCAGACATGTTCAATAGGGTTTAGGTCTGGAGATCTGGATGGTCAATCCATCCGGCGAATATCCTCACTTTCAAGATAATCGTCGACCAGACGAACCCTATGTGGACAAACGTTGTCATCCATAAAAATCAACCGAGGACCAACTGCGCTCCTGAAAAGTTGAACATAGGGCTGTAAGATCTCATCCCTATATCTCTCAGCAGTCAGGGAGCCTCTGTAAAACACATGGAGAGATGTGTGGCCGTCCAACATGATTCCTGCCCAGACTATGACAACACTGCCATAGCTGTTCCTTTCTCGGATGTTGGAGGAAAGGAATCGAGTCCCAGGTTCTCTCCAGATGAAGGTGTGTCGAGAATCCGTGTCCAAGCTGAATCGCTCCTCGTCTCTGAAAAGAACTCTACCCCTCTTAAGTCTGGTCCATGGCTGACGTTGTCTGCACCATGCTACATGCGCTGTCTTGTGTGCTGAAGTGAGCGGGACGCAAATAGCGGGTCTTCTGGCATAAAGCCCTCTCTCACGAAGCTTTCGGGTAACCCTTGAAACTTGGGTTCCAGCGGCAACATGCAGCTCACCAGATAGCTGCGAAGCTGTGGCGCCTCGCTGAAAGGCCGTCACGACTCTTGGATGACCTTGCCTACGCCTTCTCGATTTGGATCCGGTGTACTTTCGGTTCATTAGGTTTTTGTTAAATTCTCTTAATTTTGAACACCAGTGTAGAATTATTGTTCAAATAATTTAAAAAAATAACGATGAAACTAACATTTCGTCTTCTTATGATAATACGTCGGGAGATAACAAAAAATATTAGTTAATTAATAAACATGTTTGCTCATGAAAACCTTCAAACCAGTTCTCTATTACATAATAATAATTTCATAATAGTAAAAGTAAAATTCTAACTAGACCTTTGACGTTAATCGTTTATAAGCTTATTAATTACAGTTTATATAAGCATTATAAACATTTTGATATTAATTACAATAACAAAATACTGTTACAAAACCAAAAATTGATCAATATTTATTCAAATTGGCGTTTATAAAGGATATAGAACCTTAGAATTTAATTTATATTATTCATTAATTATAGNGTGTTGTGTTCATTTATCTTGTACACATGAGAGGTGTTTTTATATGTCAGCTAGATTTTGTTTAACCAAAATGATTTTTGTTAGAACATTTTTGTATCCTCTTATCATATTTTTAAAAACTTCCCTGTGTGTTGTTATTGTGGGGGAGGAAGAATAAATTTGTGATAAATAAAAAAAAAAAAATATATATATATATATATATGCAGGAAATAACAACTAAGCAGAAGGATGGTAGAAATGAGTGACAGGTGTAAATACTGGTCATATGTGTCTATTGTTCTTGGGACTCAATAAGACAAAGACAAATATAAGAATTAACACAATAACTTTAATATAGCAAATAATGATACCAAAAATGGGATCCACACATAACAAGCAGTAAACCGATGGATCTCCCTTTTACAGATATGATAATTATGCATAGCACTAACAGAATAAGGGGTAATCTGAAATATCATTTAACATACTTATTTAGAAAAATCTGAATTGCATTATATTTATATATAATAATTTTATAATAAATTAATACAAATGATTTGCCGAGAGTGCCGTTGCCAAAAATGACAATTAAAATATTTTGTTAAAATTACTGGTGGTCCTCAACTTTTGGACAGTTTGCTCCTTCATACATAATACTCTGATAATCATAAATCACTTTTTGTAAGTGAAATTTGCGGTCATGTATATTTTGGGCATGTGTTATGCTTTCTACCAATTTTTATTTCAGCAACATCAAAATAATTTGTGAAAATTAACTTTTTATTGAGTTTTTTTCTGTTTATTATATGATTTTAATGTAGTAAATCACAGTAAAAAGCTAAAACTTTCCTACTTTAACAAGCAATTTAAAAAAGTTTTCTTTTGACTCTATGAGAATGGAACTCTCTTTACAACAAGCAACTCTATTGTTTGACTTTTTTAATCATGTTTAGGAACACATTAAGTCTAAAAATTGTAGACTGAATGTAATTTGGTTTGCTACTCTCTTGTGATTCAAAATATATTAAGGACTTAATCTTCTAATAACAAAGTGTTAATC